ACTTGTATGGAAAGTACAAGGGTACACTGCTCGTGGTCATGGTTTGTGATGCGAACAACCAAATATTTCCAGTGGCCTTTGCAGTTGTTGAATCTGAGAATGGGGATAGTTGGCCATGGTTTATGGCATGTATTAGGCAGTTTGTCACTAATCGGGAGTTGTGTGTCATTTCTGATCGGCATGGAGGTATTGTCAGGGCAATGAATGAGGTGGACAGTACTTGGGAGGAGCCTTATGCGCATCATAGGCTATGTATCCGCCATCTTTCATCGAATGTGCACACTCATTTCAAAGACATTCATCTAAAAAATCTTTTTGTGTGGACCGCACGGCAACATCAGAAAAAGAAGTTTGATGGTGGGTTCAAGAAGATAGGTGAAATGAGTTTGGAGGCACGACAATTTCTGGGGAACATTCCCCCAGAAATGTGGTCATTGCACCATGATGGCGGGTACAGATACGGTACCATCACTTCTAATCTGGCAGAGGTTTTCACTTTTCAATAGCGTGATGAAAAATGCTAGATATTTGCCCATCACCGCTTTGGTCCAGGTTTCCTTTTACCGGGTTAATGCTTATTTTGTTAATAGGCGTGAAACCAGTAAAATGAGAGTGACAGAAGGCCACGAGTACTCCCCATACATCACAGATTTAATTGATAAGAATAGAGAGAAAGCCAAGCATCACATAGTTACTCCATTTGATTTAGGTCGAGGGTTATTTCAAGTGGAAACCGGTTGTGGTGGCCGAACGTTGGGGAAGGGTGGGAGAAAACAAACTGTCCATCTGAAACGAAAAACTTGCACTTGTAAAAAGATGGAGATATATAAGATTCCATGCTCCCATGTGTTAGCCGTGTGCAGACAACGTAGCTTGCCTTATGTTCCATTTGTGGATAAGTTTTTCTCATCTGATCAATACGCGGCCACATATCATAGAGTCTTCAAACTCATTCCTGATCGTGATTATTGGCCTACTTACAATGGACCTGAAATCGATTCATCCATGCTTCGGGCTAAGGGAAGACCTAAGCCCACACGTATTAAGAATGAGATGGATGAAGGTCCACGAGGAACGGTTAGATGTGGAAAATGCCACCAAACCGGTCATAATAGGGCCACATGTGCGAAGAGATTATCAAGACACGATGGGGGGTCCAGTGGGTAAGGTGTTAATTATAGTAATTCACATTAATAAAATTGATCATTAAAAAAAAGAATTAGTATAATAGTAAAAATTAACTAATACGATTTTGTTTGTTTGTAGACATGCAGGTGACAGCGGATCCTAGGTCGAGTGATCAAGATGACCATGACAACTTCTACTTTGTCTTTTGTATTGCAGTTTTTCTTGTACAACATTTTAGATAATTTACAACATTTTAGAAGTTGTAGGAACAATTTACAAAATGTTACGTATTTTCTCTTGTATGTTGTATTTATGTGTTCGAGTATGAATATTAGATGATTAATTGTTATGAATGTTTGATGATTGTACTGTGTTTTACCGGTGAGTTGTATGTGTTTATGTACGTGTTTGTGAACATGTGTGTTGTATGTTTTATAATGTGTTGCATCTCGCTCGTAACACTTAAACAGGAGAAGGGAGACCTTATTTATAGCAAAAAGATGAGTCTGGGTTGAAATGGGGCAAAAAAATTGATGAAATTCTGTTTTCGGAATTAGGCACGATCGTGCCTACCCGTCCGGGCACGATCGTGCGTGGCTAGCAGTAGCTGTTGGTCTGCGTTTATATGGAAGGGGAAAGTCGCCCAACGGTTGGGCGACTTATAAGTCGCCAAACCGTTTGGCGACTTGTAAGTCGTCCAACCGTTGGGCGACTTTCCCTAACCATGGTTAAACCCAGTAATAGATCGGTAAATATTTTTTTACCAGCATTATTTTCGTAATTAATTAATTAATTAACATTAATTCGAAAAAAAACTCTATAACTTATACTGTCTGTGAGTACTTTTTGCTGAAACAACGAGACACGGTCCAATTGCCCCAAAATAATACTCGATGTATTTACTATTCATTTAAAGGAGAAATATGTTGATTTGATACTCTGAATTTGTCATCGATTTGTTAACTTTTAGTTTAAACTAGTTAAAAAATGAAAAAATTAAAAGAAAATATACTACTTAATCATCTTTAAAATTTTGACTAAATATATATTTTTATTGAAAGTACTTTATAAAACTGTAACATTTGATACGATTTGTAAACTAATGCATTTTAATGGTAACTGTTAGGTGTTGGGTTTATGTGAGCTTTGACAATATTAATTTAGAGGTAATTACCTAAATGGGAGTAAACACATCTTTAATTGTCAAAATAGGACTAAAGTTTAAAAATTCTCAAAATAGGAGTTATTAATTGTAATTGGATAAAAACACCCCAGAAGCTTGAAATCCTAATGGCCACCGACAGAACGCCGGACCACCTCAGGTCGCCGGCCGCCGCTGACGGCCGCTGCTGCAGAATGGTCGCCGCTGAAAATCCGGCTGCGTCCGCCGCAGATCTGGATGCCAACACCATAGATCTGGCCACCGCCACCAGCCCCCGGCCGCCCTACAGATTTGGCCGCTGTCACTACAAATCCGACCTCCGTCGCTGCACACCCGGCCTCCGCCGCTGCAGATCCGGCCAACAACGCCGGTTATGCCAACATTTTATCAAAATGCCATCATAAATTGAGAATGCCATCTAAATGGCATTTTCAAAGGAAAACATGAAATTTTTGAAGAGGATGAATGCCATTTTTATGGCATTTTCAAACAAGATATGAAATTTTTTTAACAACCAAATATGAAACAGAGATTTGGTCCGGCAACGAAAAGATGAATCAGGGATGTCAATGTAATGGCATTTTCAAAGGAAAATACAAAATTTTTGTAAAATAAGAATGGCATTTTGATGGCATTTTCAGTGTTGAACTTGGTTTTTTACCGATCAAAGAAGAAATCGAGCATCTGCAACGAAATAGAAGAGAGAGAGAACTAGAGAAGGGGGCGGAAGGAGAGAACCTACCTTCAAAGAAGAGAAGATCTCTGACGGCGACGACGACGACGACGGTGATGGCTATGACTGGGCAGTGGCAGAGGACTTCACGTCAGCGGCGACGGGCTCAAAGCTTTGGTTGTTCTAGTGCGAAGAGGAAGGGAGAAGAAGGTGTATTGCGCAGGGGGAGATGCGCAGGGGGAAGGGGGAGAAGATGTGCAGGGGTGCGCATGGGGGAAAAAGAAACAGTGAGGAAGAGGGGAAAGGGAAATAATAAGGGTAAATGGGTAATCCAGTCCTATTTAGGGCAAAAAAATATGATTAGTCCTATTTAAGAGTTTCAGGAAGAATTTAGTCCCTTTTAGGCCAATATTTCATTAATTTATTTCTATTTTATTAGAAAATATTACTCTAGTACATCAGATATTGATGGAGTATATTATCATATAATCCAGGGGTCGAGACAATAAGGTCCAAGATAGCAACCGAAGTCATTTGCCGTAGAGCTCATCATAAGCCGAGTTCCACTCTGATATATCCATCTTGCTCCGGACTCCAACGAGGCTGAGCCTGATGACGGCCAGTGTGAATTGCTCTAACGTTATTGGATGAGGTCGAGCCGGTCTTCCCCTCCTCGATTATGTCCAAATCTGATCTCGTCTTATTTGATATGGTCTGGGATTGAAAATAATCCAAATAAAAACATTCTATATGGTCTTAATAAATACTTGTCAATCCCTCAAATGGTGAAGTGTGAGGATATTTATGGCCCTAAGAAGTATTTGAGCGAAACACATGCTTGATTCACGTGACCAAGCATAGGAGCAAATAATAACTATTGTTCCAAAAGGTGGAATCTCCCACCCCAGGAGCCTCCACCCCGACCCGACAAGATGGTGGGCAGGTGGAGAGGTTAGTCACGGTGACTCAGTCAGCAGAATGGCAGTAGGCCCATACACCCGTGCGCACCAGAGGTCCAACCTTATTTCAGATTCTGTGAGCTCCACCCGATCGCTGCGGGGATTCGAACCTTGGTCAGTTGGTCCATTGTTCCAAATCTCTCACCACTCGACAAACTGAGCTACCCGTGCGGGTTAAGAGCAAATCATAACTAAATTGCAAGAATAGGACCAAAAGATATATCTTCCCAAAGTAGGAGTAATTAATGCTCTGTATTCCAAATTTATCCTTTATCACATTATAATTTAAAAAATAATGCTTTTTACGTATAAAAAAATCTGAAAAATATGGCAGCATCTTCCGTCGCCTCACAGAGTTGCCATTGCCGATGGCCGGAGATTTTTTATCTAAGAATGCCACTTTGCATCAAAAGTGTCAGATTAATGGCACTTTTAAACTCTGTTAGTTTATTCGCGTATAATTCACGTATAATACACTCAAACGTATAATTCGCGTATAATACTCCCGTTTATGAATTTTTTAGAAAATACTTAAAAATACACGTACTTTAAGTATAAAATGTATAATACACGTACCGTACGTATTGATACGTATTTTATTAAAAAATACCATTAAACTGAAGCCTAATGGAGTGGTACAAATGAAGTGAAATGTTTAGCTGCTCAATACTATTTATAATGCTTAAAAAATTATTATGACTTATACGTTCGTTAATTGTTTAATAGTCATTAGATTTAATAAATTAGCTTCTTAAAGTCATAATTCGTTTTTATATTACTATTGTACTATTATTTTGTTACTCTTATTCTCCACTCATACCAAAACTCCAAAAAGAAAAGAATATTATGGCGACTCACCAAATTTACGGTCACGATAATATAAACTATTCTCTAGAAATATGTGTCTACTTCTACACAAATAGGCAATATCATTTTTATTATTTATTGTACCTATGAATTAAAATTCGTATATCCGAAAAACTATTCCGTACATTTTAAACTGTTGAAGAATGTAATGCATATGTTAAATCACTCTTTATTCTCATCATTAAATTAATATATAAGACATGTATTATATGCCGTATTTTTAAATTGTGAAACGTTTAAAACACGTTCGTATCTTTATTCATTTCACGAACGTATGAAACATATATTTAGCCGTATTTTATATAATTGTATCGTATTATACACGAACGTAAGTATTATTGTATTATTCACGAACCGTATAATACTAACAAAGCTTTTAGAGTAAAAAAATGGCATTTTAAAAAAGTAATAATGCCATTATTATTTGTAAGTTCACAAAAACGCCCCTGGAGCTTGACAATACATAGTCTGCTGCTAACAGGTTGCCGGATCAGCCACCGCCGGCCGCTGCCGGCCGCCTCCGGTCGCCACCGCAATCTCATAATTAACCGCCATAGCCGATACCATATCGCCGCCTCCATGTATCTGGCTGCCGCCTCTCTAGATCGGGCCAGATCTGGCCTCCACCGCCCGTCGACTGCCGCCCCTGCAGATTCAACCGCCGCCAGTGCAGATCCGGGCACCTCCATCGCAAATCCACCCGCCTCCACCGCAAATCCGGCTGCCACTACTGATGCCAACCTTTTTATGGGAATGCCAACATAAATCAGAGAATGCCATCTAAATGGCATTTTTAAAAATAAAATATGAAAATTTTAAAGAGTAAGAATGCCATTTTTATGGCATTTTCAAAAATAAATGGCAATTGTAACAACAACTACATCACGGCAGTTTGATTTCACCATTATTGACAATCAGAGAGCAACTTCAGAACTCTAACAAGAGGAAGAAGAAGTAGAAAAAACTATCGTACAACAAATTGGTATAAAACAAAAGAAGTAAAGAGGTAACATGAAAATCACCGAAGCATGGCACCGCCGCCGCAAAACCAGATCTAGGCAGAAAATAAGCAACCTGCAGAAAAACAAATGAGCTCGAGGAAGAGACAGATCGTCGGCCGCCGCTCATCGCTGCGAGTCGTCACTCTTCCACCGTTCATCGAAGCTGCCTACTGTGCGCTGCTCGCCGTTCATCGAAGCACCATCTCTTGTTGCGGAAACTTGGAGCCAGATTGCTAATTTGCTCTAATAGCACGGTAAAACCTAATTGGAGGGGTAAAATTGGAATACTGGTCCCATTTAGGGAATAAAAGACGACTACTCCTAATTTAGCCACAAAACTCTAAGATTTATTACTAATTTAAGATTATACTATTACTATTATTAATTATTACTACGGGTATTAGCCCTTAGTAAGAGTAAAATAAGTCCAAAATTCAACAATAGGAGTACAATCCTTTTATTCCCAAAATAGGACTAATATGTCTCTTCTTCCCATTCTACTCCCTTCCTATCATTTCCAATAAATTTATTTTATTAATAAGAAAATAATAGTTTTATTTATAATAAAAATATAAAAAATAATAAAATATTTATAAAATAATAATGAAAACGTGGAAAAAAATTAAAAATAATAAATAAATTTTTTTAAAAAAATTAAAAAGTCCAAAAAATAAAATAAAATACCTAAAAAATTAAACAATATGTAGGCCACTGCCAACGCGTCCTCTACCTCCCAGCACCACTGACTCCGGTCGCTGAAAAAAATGTCATTTTGTGTAAAAAATGTCACATTTCTCTGAAAATGCCATAAAGATGACATTTTTACTCTTTGAAAATATCCAACTTTCTCTTGCTTTCTCTTCAAAATTGCCATCATGATGACATTTTTTATCCAACTTGGCAATCTTTTCGGTGACCGGAGGTGGCAGTACTGGAAAGTGGCTGAGGTGGTGGTTGGGGTCTGTATAATTTTTAATTATTTTTTACGATTTTTTTTTTATATTTTATAATGATTGTTTAAAAATCCTATTATCAAGGACAAAGGAAAGGGTAGAATATGAAGAGTTAGTCCTATTATAGGAATTTAAACTTTAAACTCCTATTGTTGCAATTATCCTTTTATTTACTCCTATTTAGGTAAATCTCCCTTATTACTCGTACACAAGACAAAATTCATATATTTAACTTTGTAATTAATGTATTCAATTTTTAAACCAATAATATCCTCAAGGAAAAATTGAGAATAATAATCCCAATTATTACCGGTCCGCTATTAATAATCTCAACTATCGATTATTGTTGGGTGGTCCCAATTATAGGGACCATATTCCAAAAACAATCCCTAACCTGCTACAACCTGGTATAGCGAATCAAATTTAATTGTGAATTATGCGTAAGCTATAAATAATCCCAACTATCGTCGAACTACTTTTATAAGTTTTATTAATTCCAATTATCATCTCTCAATTTTAAAAAAATATAAAAATATTTTTATAAGTTGCCAAATTAAATATTTTTAAACATACAAAAATAATTATGAAAATTCTACAAATGTACCGAAGTTAAATAAAAATATGTTTAGTCATTTTTTAATTATTCTCAATAAAATTTCATTTTTTTTCTTTTTTCCAATTTATTTTTCCTAGTTGTGACAACAAGTTATGATTTTGTATTATTTTCCTTTATTCAATTTTACATTTTGTGTTTTCAAAAAGTATATTGTGATAAAAAAATTGCGATTTAAATCTTTATTCTAGATTTTTAATATTTAATTTTAAGTGATACATTTTTTCTTCATATTTTACAATTTTCATTATATCATTTACAGTTAAAATATTAATACATTTTCATTAAAAATAGAAAAACCCTCTAAAATGGATAAAATAGAGAATTTAGATTTTTAGAATTAACATACCATAAAAATAAAATAAAAGATATTTTCATGGAAAAAACTAGATAAAGCTTTCAATCATAAAAAATTTAATCACATCTTACTTTTTGAAAATAGAAAGTGTAAAATTGAATAAAGGAATATATTACCAAATCATAACTCTTTAACACAACAGGGAATAATAAATTGGAAAAAAGAAAAAGAAAAATAAATTTTAGTAAAAATAAATAAAACTTGACCAAAACTATTTTATTTAACTTCAATAAATTTGTAGAATTTTCATAATAATTCGTACATGTTTAAAAATATTTAATTTGAAAATTTGTAAAAATATTTTATATTTTTCAATAATTTTCTAAAATTGAGAGTTGATGATTGGGATAAATAAAAGAAGATCACCTATGAGAAATGAGAAAGTGCAAAAAAAAAGATCAATTATAGTTGAGATTACTTATAGCTTATGCATAGTTCACATTTGAATTTGGTGTGCTATACCAAGTTGTAGCATGTTAGAGACTATTTTTGGAAAATGGTCCCTATAGTTAGGACCACCCGGGAATAATCAAGAGTTAGGATTATTAATAGCGGACAAGTAATAGTTGATATTATTATTTTCAAATTTTCCTATCCTCAAACCATTTGAAAATCTAGAGCGAGAGGCGACAACCGGTCCTATGGAAACCTAAGTAGCAAGCCCTTTGATGATCCTCCTAAAGTATCTCATAACCTAGCCTTCTTAACTATGATTAGCAAGAGTCTTCAACGATGACGACGTTCTCTGCGCAATAATGAATCAAATGTTTTCATATCCTGGAATTTATTTGCACCTTTAACTCCTTAAGGGTTCTGATGTTGTTCCGGCTTATTATTTGGCATAAAGTTATGTCTGTTTCAGGTGACCGTGGAATTTATTCTTCTCTTAGCAACGTCTAGAGGTGGTGTATTTCTCGTCAGTGTAACCGATTCAGTGGCAAGTTTTCATTATTCATGGTTGGCAAGTAGGGTTCAAACTCATTCTTTTGAAGCTACAACTACCTGCCCTCCTCCTGAACCACCTTCTTCCTCTCAGAGGAAGTTAATGCTCAGCTGGATCTCCTTTTCGGTGGTTGGTCAAACCGATGGTTCAGTCAATTTTTACTCGGTCGAATTTTCTTTGTTGGTTGTTGATCAAACTAATTGTCCCCTTCCAATGGTTGGTGAAGCCGGGTTTTTTATTTGTAACTTTTAGTTTTGCTTTATAGTAAGAAGAGCATCAAAACTATTAGACTAAATTACATTATTGTGAGCTTAATGAAAAAATTTTGAGATCTTTTCCTTTCCGTCTCATCTCATTGCTATTATTTAATGAATAAATTAGTTATTTGTTTTTGCAAGAAATTAGTTATTTGTTTTAAAAAAGAGAAAATTCACTATTAGAGATATTATCTTGTTAAATTAGAATATTATTATTACGAAATAACAGTGATGGATAGTCTACCCGGGGGTATATATCCGAAGGGTTATTACGGGGAATGACTTAGAGAGAAGTCAGAGCGAACAAGTAAGAGAGAAAGTGTATATTCGATATATATTCAGCGTGGTTACAAATGGGGAAATGGGGGGCTATTTATAGCAGCAATAAATGCCGGGCAGGGACACGTGTCAAGCGCTCATTGGCCGAGGGGTCGCCTCAAATGGTTGGCGCTGGCAGCCGCATGTGGCCGCATTTAATGCGGCTGTTGGATGGGACGTCTGTGCAGAGTACGGTGATCTGTACGCATGTGAGGCAGATATCTTGTCGAGTGAGGTGCCTTTGGCTATAGAGCAGTAACCGAGGGCTCTCCCACCCGATGGCACCCTGGTGCCGAGGGCTCACAATGCCGAGGGCTACTGTTTTCGCCGTTTTCTCCCAGTTTCCTAATTTGCTTGAGAAACCCGCTTTGTGACAATTTGGAGCCTTCGGCCAGGGGGCCGAAGGCACCCCTGTGCGTTGTGCGGGCTGCTCGGTACTCTGGGCGCTGTGATTTGGGCCTGTTGGGCCTTTTGGGCCTGTTGGGCCTTCGCTGGAGTAGTAGGAGTCTGTGGGCCGGGGGTTCCCGGGCCATATACTCCATCAGGAGTCCCTCACTCCTTTTGTCGAAAGGTACTTGAGGGAAAAGGAGTAACTTGCGCTTGCCCTTTGATGTTGTCCCGTCGTGATTCCTGAAGTTTGGTGAGGATTTGTTGCTTTTAGGTCCCTGCCGAAGGCAGTCCCTCAGTTACCCACATGTCGGGACTTGAGGGGTTGCTTTGTTGTTTGTTGGATTTTCACAGATTTTGTAATTTAATGATTTTCCCGAAGGGGTCCTCCAGTCCCCCACTCCTTGAGGCACTTGTAAAGTGGTGAAAAGGAGTAGAGTAGTTGCGTTGCTGTTGTGGGCCGAAGGCTGACGCTTTTCGTTTCATTTTGGGGGGATGCCTCGTTAAAAACCTCATTAGGAAAAACCCTTAGGGAAAAAATCCTAATGAGGGAAAAAGAGTGCACCGAATTCCCCCAATGATGAATCGAAAATGTCAAACCTTGGTAAAAAATGGAGAATGGCGGGAATGCCGAAGGCTCTCTCTTCCGAGGGCTCCTGTGTTGATTAGCCGAAGGCTTGCTGTTGATATCCTGGTGGCGCCGAAGGGAGCCCCTCAATCCAGGGATCGAGGGCCTGCCAGATGAGGGCAGTAGTGAAGTTGTTACCGGGGGGGGTCCACTGTCTGTTGATGAGTTGGTGATGAAGATACCCGAGGGCTCCCATTACCTGTGTGCCATGGGCAATCCGTCAATGGGGCACTCCCCGGGGGCTACCCGGTTTTGCAGTGCTGAGGGGGAACCCCGAGGGGTGCCCTGATATGCAGCCCTAGGGGATCTGAAGGGGTGATCCCGAAGGCGTGTGTAATGTACTGTGTGGGCACAACCCGGGGGCACTTCTGGGTGAGTGCACCCGGAGGCTAGCCTTGATGAAGTGGAGTGAAGTAGAAAATCCGGGGGCTTCCAGAATATAGCCGTTGGAAATATAGCCGTTGGAATATGTAACGACGGGATATAGCCGTTGGGGGGGCACACGTGGCGTGTGATGGCTGGCTGTCCGTGGGCGGCGTCACCGGTTGGGCGAAGACGCGGTGAGTAATGATGGCGTCCATCCGGAGGCCCGGAACCCAAGCCCAAGCCCGGATTCCAGCGCCTATAAATACCCCAAGGCCAGGCATTCCTCCGTGTGCGATAAACTTGTTAGCGAAGCTCTGTCAATTTTTCTAGAGAGAGAAAGTTTAGCCTTCGGTCCAAAACTCAGCTTTCGAGGTCAGTGCTCCCTGCCTTTTTCCTTTTAGCATAGCTGTACTGTGCCCTTAGTTTAGGAGATAGAAAAGTT